AGGTCTCTACCAGAGACGTATACGGTGTCTCTACGTCACTCCTCCTCTGTGGCCAGTAGAAGCATTCAGTAATCTATGTGCTCGGATGTTTCACACTTACTAACTTTCTCCTGGAGTTCTTAAATGCATCTTAAAGAGTATGGATGATTAGGGCGACTGTGGCTAAGTGGAGAGCAGGGCCGTCCTTCAATGAGAGGATCGGCGGTTTGATCCCCGGCTCTGCTAGTCGCATGTCGATGTGTCCTTGAGCAAGACACATAACCCCAAAATTGCTCCCGTAGCTGTGCCTACGGTGTATGAATGTGATAGAATTGTCACTTAGCCCCTGCCATCAGAGTGTGAATGGGTGAATGATGACAAGTAGTGTGAAAGCGCTTTGAGTGGTCGTAAAAGACTAGAAAAGTTGTATACAATTACAGTCCATGATAAGAAAGCCATCTTCATCTCCTTGAGGAATGCAGCTGAAAGCTAAAAATAAATGCTGGTAATCACAACTTGAGTCTTTTCAAGTTCAGGAATTTCCCGCTCCAACTTTTATTTGAGTGTTTACAGTAAACAGCTGCTTTAATGTCCACACATCTGTGAAGCAGGTGACACAGGTGAGTTTACCTGCTTGGAGAAGGAGTCGTCGATGTCTCCCGCGTCGTCCGAACCCCGCTGACCTGCTGACCCCTGACCCTGCGGCTGCCGCTCATCAAACGAGTACTGGACCCACCGAAGAGCAGAAAAACAAACTGTTTAGTTGTGTGTTTTATGGTGTGTGTGTGTTACACACTGTGTTGTGTATGTGCGTGTGCACCTGCATCCTCATATTGGACAGGATGATGCGGCGCGTCATCCGGCTCTCCGAGGCCGAGCTGCGAAGCCTCTCGAAGTTCTTGTTCATGCGGTACTGCCTGAACGCCATCTGGATCGTTCTCGCCGCTCGCCGGGACACAAACTGGCCCCCGTACTTCCTCTCCAGCATCTCCACCTACCGAGGTATCGAAGGGATGGAGGACACGAACGGAGGTTCACTTCAGTTACATTATGATGCCTTCAGGCTCTGCAAAAGGTCAATTTAACCCACACATAGTGGTAACTGACTTTAAACAGTAATTTAGAAGCAGCATCGATAACAGCAGAGTGAAGACATCTGTTACTGAACGATCAATCACACACTGTAGCATTGTTTTGAGCTGATCTAAAGTAACTGAGTTAGTCTTTGTCAGTAACTGTTGCGTTTGTGTCTTTAAATGTTAGTCAATCAAAAATATAATATTATATCAGCCGACAAAACTGACATTATGAATAAAGCAGTTTTAGATCACGACAACATTCTCAGAACTGTGACTTTGTGGGGAGAGTTACTGAACTTCATACGTTGCACATACAAGGACTTTGTCTTGCTGAACGTTTGAACCGTTACGTGACTTCAACAGTCCTGTTCTTCACACCAAACAGACAGAAAGTGGTAAGAAATACAGAGACTGGGATGCACTGGAATCAAATGTGATGAAATTGTGTTGAAGAGCTTCGATGCAGCTAAATAGGACAGACATGGAAATCCTGACACGGTGCTGAGTATCAGCCCACGATGATGTGTGTGTGTGTGTGTGTGTGTGTGTGTGTGAAACACCATGTGTGGGCGCTCTGACGTGCATTGTTCTCTTGCTTTCTTTTTAAAAGGCTGCATCCAACTCAGAATGTAACAGACACAATAACATGAAAACTCAGTGAAGACTTGTAGACCTCATGTGGTCGTCGTACCTTCTTGTCCTGGAGGTCCGTAGAGAGCTCATAGCTGTCGGATAGAGCCTTGCCGCGTTTGCTCTCCTCCTCCTCTTGCTTGCGGAGCGCCAGGCTGGCCGGCTGGTGTCGGCTGCGCTGAGCCCAGGCAAGGCTCGCCGGGCTGGGGGGAGAGATGGGAGAGCTACCCTGAAGGGAGGGGGGAGAAGAGAGGGAGGTCAACTATTGAATATGCAACTTCAAGCTATACAGAGAACTTTCATTTAGTGTTGATTCTGTCGCCCCCTGTGGACTAAAGCTGTAGTGTCTCTGAACACCAGACTCCCTTTAGAAAACCTCTCATTTTACTGCAGCAGGGTCTGACAGTCTGACCCTCTCAGTCCTGGTTCTGGTTCTCCCGTGCCTCCCTTCCCTCCAGCAGGTCCAGCAATACGTCCTGGGTCTCCAGCAACGTGGTGTCGGTGTCGGCTCTGCTCCTGGAGGAGGAGGAGGAGGAGGAGGAGATGCTGCTGTTGCTGCCGGGAGCTGAGCTCTCCTCCTCCCTCCGGAGCTCCGGATCTGGATCTGTCCATGGTGGACCGGTCTCTGCTGGAGGATCTGGGTCTGTCCACGGTGGACCGGTCTCTGCTGGAGTCTGAGCTGAAGGAGTTTCTGGTGAACCAGCATGAGTTCATCTGATTTCAACAGAATCTGACCCGGTGGCTCCGATGACGAGCATTAAGAATAACTCTATAGAAACAGACCATCTTCTCTCTGATGGTCTCTTTACTGATGGAGGTCTGAT